CTCGCACACAAGAATTTCACTCACATGTGCTGTACCAATGTACCTGCACATGTGATGTGACAATAAAAGTCATTTGATTTGATTTGACCACTAGGTGTCAGTAGACTTCAGACACCTGAGCACAAACAGCTCGTTATCTTACTGCAGCTGACGACATGCAGCAGCCTGAGGGGGCGGCTGCTGTGATTCTAGCTGCAGAAATAAAACTGAACAGAAACTTGTTTACAGCCAAAGTGATTTGTGTCTTTTTACCTTGGCCTTGGCGACCTCGGTGTCCATCGGGTGTTTGGCTTTGAAGATTTTCTGGACCTCCTGCTGAGGACTGCGGACAAACAGAAGGAAACTTCAGGAAACGAGTCCTCGATTACTACGTGAGCCGATTGAACCCCGACCCGTTATCCAATCCTGAAAGCTCCTCACAGAAACACACTCGAGCTCTCTCAGATCGATCAGACGTAAAACAGAACAAATGTTTGGTGTCAGCGCTCGAATTCAGAGGCTGAAGTGTTTTCAGTCACAGCAGCGATCGATTGGCGTATTGATCAGTGAAAGCTGCGCTTACGCTCCGAGCTGCTTCCAGCGCTGGAAGAAGTCCTGCGACATCATCTCTGTGGGCTGGAAGAACTTGTTGAGCATCACGGGGAGCTTCACAGCGATGTTCTGCAGGGCCCCACCATACCTGAACGCGAGCACACACACGCAGTCAGAAGTGAGCACACAAACACACACGTATGTATTTATATCCTTGTGGGGACATCTCATTGACATAATGCTTTCCCTAGCCCCCACCCTACCCATCAAAAATGAATGCCTGACCCTGAACCTAAGCAGAACCTAACTGTGACCCTGACACTAAAGCCACACTTTGAGTCTCAAAAATGCCTTCAAACTCCTGGGACCTGGATTTTGGTCCCCACGAGGATAGTAAACTACCAAGTTTTGGTCCCCATGAAGATGTTAATACCTGTGCGCACGCGCGCGCGCACACACACACCTGAACTGGATGTTGAGCACCGGCGCATCGCTGAAGTCTGACACACACTCGATGTTCAGGATCTGCTGCATCTGAGCTCCGCCCTCTATCACGGGGTCGACCGCCTTCGAGTGGACGTTCAGCTGTGGACGCGACCGTTAAGGACCCTACTGAA